GTGGCAGAGGTGCTCAGCCAATGTCAGCCACCAAAGGCCAACGTGGGTTTGGGGCTTTTGTCATTTAGAAAAGGGGAACGAGGACGGGGGGCTCAAAAAGGGATCACCAGGTGGGTCACAAAGGTGTCTGAAGGGGATGTGGTGCAGCCTCAGAGCAGAACAGAGACTGTTCCAGTTCAGAGCCCCCAAGGAGCTACAGACAGGCAGGTTATCAAATTATCATTATTAAATGAGAAATGGCCCAGAGAACCACCCAGGAGGTGTCACTGCTCAGAGCCACCACCCCAGGAACAGAATCACAGAATCTCTGAGGTTGGAAAAGACCTCCAAGACCATCAAGTCCAACCTGTGCCCGATCCCCACCTCGTGACCCAGCCCAGAGCACTGAGTGCCACGTCCAGTCCTCCCTTAGACACCTCCAGGGATGGGGACTCCACCGCCTCCCTGGGCAGCCCCTTTCAGTGCCTGATGACCCTTTCCATGCAGAAATTCCTCCTGAACGGTCACCTACCACTCTCCAAGAGAGATCTCCTTTCCCTTGGTGATGTCAAAGCCTCCCCTCTTCATCATGGCTTTCTGAAAGGAATACTGGCAACGAAACACAGGCAAGTGTCAGCAGGTGGTGACAGGCCAGCCCTGGGGACACGTGGGTGACAGCCAGGCCAGGAGCAGGGAAAAGACAGGGATGTTAAAGTCGGTGACAGGGAAAGTGACAGTGAGGGAAACCCAACGTCCCCCGTGCTCCAGGGAGCTGGCAGGTCCCGGGGGGCTGGGGAATGGCAGTGACTCCTGCGGTCACACCAGCTCTGTCACGACAGGAGGTCTCGCCTTTTCCGACTCCAAACGCACGGATCATGCTACAGGCATGACCAAACACCACCACATCCTCTGGGAACACAGCTCAGGTGGAGGGAGAGAGGCCAGAGACAGCGAGACCAGAGTGAAAACCTCCGCAGGGCCGGGCACCGCAACCCCCGTGAGCCGGGAGAACAAGCCCCAAGTGTCTCCCCCACCTCAGCCTGTGTCTTCCAGAAATCTGCCTCCTTGGAGCTGTTCACCTCACAGTTAATGACCAGGACATCTGGCAGGCAGCGGATGTTCCGGGTCTGCACCTGTGGAGGGAGCAGGAGATGGAAGTGGGGCAGCACTGGGAGCCTGGAGAGGCTCAGGGTGGGTTTGGAACACTCGGCCCTCCACCGGTGCCTTTCCCCGCAGCGCTGCCTCCCCTCCCTGGCTGCATTCCTGGTAGCTGGGGGTACTCCCAGGACAACTGGGGCAGGGAGCAGCCTGCTCCATCAGCTCCCAGGGGGTTTCTCTCTGCCCCCTACCCTGGGAGGATTCAGTCCCGTGAGATGAATTCACACAGCCCAGGAAATACCCCACGGCACACCGGCTGCCGGCCGGGCCAGGAACCGAATCTCTGGCATCCACTCAGGAGGTTCCCCAGTGACTAACGGAGGAACTGCCCCCCTCATGCTCATCTCCTGCAGCCCCTCATGCCCGTGCCCCCTCCTGGGCTCACCGTGGGCTGGTACTTCTCGCAGTTCTCACACCAGGCCTGCGTGTTCTGCTCCAAGCAGATGCTTCGCTTTAAAATCTGGGCAAACTCATAATCCTTGGCTGGTTTTTCTGAAGGGAGAAAGGATAATAACGTCACCTTCCAACACACAAAACCTTCGCCGACTTAGCTCAGCCAAACCTCTGGGGTTTTCCTCACAACCACCAGCCAGAAGGTCAACCCCCAAATCTGTCTTTCTGTAGCCAAAAGCTCGTCTGGTTGGAAACCCAACCCTAGACCTGGGGCTGCCACAGCCTGGCAGCTCCTCACTGCAGGTGTGTTTCACCTGGAAAAGTCAGGGATAACAAAGCCCACCCTGTCCCCAGGGCCTGGCCCCGCCGTTACCGGTGCTCTCGGGGTAGGAGAGGGTGAAGAGCAGCGTGGAGGACACTCGGACCGTCTCCTTCCCACAGCGGCACATGCTGCAGTTCTCCATCTCACAGCTGAAGAGCTGCCCGATGACAGAGTCCCCTGAGGACCCAAAGCTGCTGGAAAAACAGAGCACTGGGGTCAGCAGGATCCCAGAGATCCCTATGGGGGCCCATGTCTCAGGCTGCACTGGGCCAGCTCCCAAATTCCAGCAGCTCTTGGGGAACCGGCCATTGGGTTTCCAGAGCTGGTGTCCTCTGAGCAGCCCCAGCCCCTCCAAGCCCCTCTGGAAGCTCAAGCTGGTGTCCTCTGTGAAGCCTCAACCCTCCAACCAGGTTTGGCTTAGGACAAAGGCTCAGCATGGGATTCACACGCTGCCATAGGGTAACCTGCAGCTTTGTGTATTCCCATGGACCCCCTGGGGCATTCCCATGGACCCCTCAGGGCAGGCATGAGTGGCAAGAAACCTTCCCAAGGGATGGGTGTGGTCTCTGGGAGCCAGCCCTGCTCCGGGCTCAGTCACTCCCCGTCCTGTCCCGTGCCAGGGCCTCACCTGGTGCCAGCCCCCCGGTACGCCTGCGGCCCCTCCTGCTCCTGGGTTTCCTGGTGCAGCTGAGTGAGGATGAAACGGTTCCAGCTCTGAATCAGCCGCCCCAGGTTCACCTTCCCCGTGGCCTCGTCCGAGTCAGCCAGGATGAGCCCCAGCGCCGAAGCCTCCGGGATCGTGCGGAAAGCCCGCAGGAAGTTGCTTCCCTGGGGATGGGGCAAGAGTGTCAAGTGACAGGAGTTTCCACAGTGCCTGACACCGGCACCACCCGGCTCCTGTTCCCCTGCAATCCCTGTGACCCTCCCAGGCAGCCCAGCCCACGACAGACCTGGCAGGGATCTCCTCGGGATAGGTCCAGCATATGGAAGAGCAAGCCCAGCTCACAGCCCAGGCAGAATTCCTTCTGGCACAGGTGGTTCTGGACCAGGCAGCGGACGGGCTCCAGGAAATACAGCACCTGGCAGAGACCAAGCAGTCAGGGGGGTCCCAGGGCCGTGGTGGTCCGGGCAGGGCTGGGGCAGCTCCCACCTGGATCATACAGTTGCAGTAGGCATTGGGAATGTGGGGCTCCAGCCCTGCAAACAGCGTCTTGTTGTAATGCTTGAAGTCAAAGTCCTCCAGCCCCAGCTTGGAGTATTTGATGGTGACCTGAGCGGAGATGTGACGTGTTAAACAAGCACCTTCCCACGCCGTGGGACCCCCACGGGAGAGCTGGTGCACCCAGGGGTGTCCTTGGCCATGGCCAGCCCAGCCTTGGGACCCCCAGCCAGCCCCAGAGCAGCCCCCCAAGGCCACCACCTTCCTGTACTTCTTGGCCACCCTGTAGAGATGTGGCTCCTCCTCCCGCCCGATCGGGGACTCGGGGACTTGGCTGAAGTTGTCAAACTCGTTGTCCGTCTCCTTTAACCGATAAGGAATCTGAGGAGGGGAGAGAAGGGACGAGCAGCTGAACCCTGAGGTGGAGAGAAGCCCCACGTACTGACACAAGCAACTCCTGGGCTTTCCTGCCTCCCTGAATGAGCAAAGGGATACACCAGAACGGAGTGGGGCCCTCCCTGGACCTGCACGAGGCCTCCACACCTTCCTTCTCACAGGGATTTGTCACTGTGGGAAACTACAGAGGCACCGTGGGCAGTGTTTTCCCAAGGGTGAGGGACATGCCATGAGCCTCCCAACTGGACAGCTCAAGCCTTCCCTGCCACAGAGCCAGGGAGGGATGGAACTGGGAAAACTGCCAGGCTGGCTCTGCTCAAGAGAAGCTGACGCCTCCAAACTATACACCTGCCACATCCCACGGGAATTCCGCCTCTCATCCCTGTCCCTGAAACCTCGGAGATGGCTCAGCACGCAGCAAGCTCCACCCTCCTCCAACCTACAGAGCTCCAGCGCTGGAAACACCACCCCACCCCCTCAAACCCCCTGCTGAGAGCGGGTACCTGGTTGCGGAGCTTGGTCCTGGGGTTTGGGGCGTAGCCGATGAATCCCACCTTCTTCATGGTTCGCAAAATCTCGGGATCTACTGGGGGGGCTCGCCTGCAAACAGTACCCCCTGAGTCAGAGCAGCATCTCTGACCCACCCAGAGGCCTGCTGGGTGTGCTCAGGGACCCACCCTAAGGGTGGTCCCGAGTGCTCCCCCTCCTCAGTCCTTCCCCAGGTTCATTTCCCAACCCAACAAACCCCCTGGGTTATGCCAGGGCAGGGCGGCAGCGCTGAGCACAGGCGGGTCAGGGACAGGCACTGCCCCTCGGCCATTCCTGTCCACTGCCAGGAACTCCTCTGGCACTTCCCAGGGCAGGTGAGGAGGAAGGAGAGGTTGTTTTTCCCGGGAGGGGCCGGGAATTACCGCGGTGCCGGGGCGGAGTTGGCGGCGGGCCAGTCGGAGAGCAGCGCGTCGCTGGTCAGCGGCACCGGGATGAGCGAGAGCGGCACCAGGTCCTGGTTCCAGTCCAGGTGGGGCAGCGTGTCCACCATGCAGGGCAGGGCGAAGTCGGTCTCCCGGGAGTAGGCGTTGAAGGTGACCTCTGGGGAGTCGGCCCAGAGGTGGACGCAGCCCTCGGAGTCGCCGAAGGCCAGCGCCTGTTTGCTGGCAGACACGTCGAAGGTCATGATGAGGGGCCCCACCGTGTTCACGTGGAAGATGTCGGCGGGGTTGGCCAGCCCGGTGGGCTCGCAGAACTGGCACTGGCCTGTGGGAGAGCAAGTGCAAGGACAACGTGGCACCGGGACACGGTGACCCAGGACACGGTGACCCACATGTCCCTCGCCGCTGGACACGGGTCAGCAGCGCTCGGCCAGCCATCCTTAGATCATGGAATATCCATGGGACATCCACGGAAGGGACCCACAAAGATCAAAGTTCAGCTCCTGGCCCTGCACAGGAAAACCCCAAAAGTCCTCCCAGTCCCCAAATCCAAACACCCGAGAGCATTGTCCAAACACTCCCTGATCTCTAAAATTATGGAATATCCTGAGTTGGAAGGGACCCACAAGGATCCTCCAGCCCAACTCCTGGCCCTGCACAGGACAGCCCAACAATCCCACCATGTGCTGAGAGCGTTGTCCAAACCCTCCTGGAGCTCTGGCAGCCTTGGGGCCGTGACCACTGCCCTGAGGAGCCCGTTCAGTGCCCAACCACCCTCTGGGGGAAGAACCTTTGCCTGAGATCCAACCTATCCCTTCCCTGACACAGCTCCAGCAGTTCCCTCAGCTCCCATGGCTGGTCACAGAGAGCAGAGGTCAGAGCTGCCTCTCCTGAGGAAGTTGTACATAGCAACGAGGTCTCCCCTCAGTCTCCTCTGCTCCAGGCTGAATCCCCTGGGATTTGACCCTGAGCTTGGGGATGCCGGGACCACCACCCCAGTCCCCCCAGGGCCACAGCTTCACCCACCTGTCTGGGAGATGATGGCCAGGCGGGAGGTGTAGGTGGGGATGAAGCGCAGGAAGAAGGGGTCGATGTGGACCTGCAGGGGGGTGGTCGCCCGCATCATGCGCAGGTCGTAGACCTTGAGGAAGCGGTCGCAGGCCAGCCCGTTCATCCGGCTGGAGAAGCCGCAGGTCACCAGGAGGTTCCCGTGGACGTCGAAGTCGGACAAGCTCCCGGAGTAGGCGTCGAACTCGTGCTCCACCACGAACGTGCGCAGGTCGCGCAGGGACACCTGCGGGGGACGGCGCTGGGTGCCAGGCGCCCGCTCCGGAGCCCTGGAGCTCCGGGAGGAGATGGATCCCAGCTCCAGGCAGGTCAGACAGGGCTGGCATTACCTTCCCCGAGGTGTGCCCGCAGAAGAAGAAACGGTTCGATTGCCTCATGATGGTGATGCCCGGGACCTCCACGGTGTACTGGGAGGGAAGCGGGATGAGCGGGGATGAACCCTGGAGCAGAGCTCCGGGGAGCAGCCCCCGGCCCAGCCGTACCTTCTGCGTCTCCTGGACGGTGTTGAGGTCGATCTCGAGGACGTGGTTCTGCAGGCCGGCCACGAGCAGGGTGCTGCTGTCCGTCAGCAGGAGGCTGTGCATGTCCTCGGACTCATCCATGCTGGGGGAGAGGACGGGACACCCTCACGCTCCTGCCCGGCTCCAGGAGGCAGCAGGGAAGGGGTGGCAGGGAGGCAGAGGGGCCAGGACCACCCCACAGCACAGGGGCAGCAGGGAGAGGACTCACAGGTAGTCAAAAATGATGAGGCCGCCCCGCGACATGTACTTCAGGTTGGTCTTGGTGAGGAAGAGGACGCCGTTCTCCAGGCTCTGGATCTGGCGGATGTCGTCGCTGCTGTTCACTTGGAAGGAAGAGTATCGCTCCAGCGTGGGGCCGAAGAAGGAGGTGGCATGGCCCTAAACACAGAGGGGATGGCAGGGGGATGGAACTGGGTGATCTTTATGCTCCCTCCCAACCCAAACCATTCCATGATTCCCTCAAATTCCCTGCCCCCCAGGTTTCCCCGCAGTGACCTCCCCACCTACCCCGTGGTTCCCAATCCACAGCATCTCCTCGTGCAGGTCGAAGTGGGACACGGAGACGGGCACCCCGACCTCGGACACGGCCGTGTGGAGCTCGCTGTACATGCCCTCCATCAGGTGCACCGACTCTGGCACCGGGATGCCCTCCAGGGACACCCCCTCGGGGTCCAGCTCCACCAGGCTGGGGTTGAGGTGGGGGTCCAGGACGGGGTCCAGCGCCGGGTGCAGGGGCGGCGCATACTCGGCCAGGGAGGGGTTGAGCCCTTCGAAATTCATGGTGAATCCCGGTGGCCTCTGGGACAGAAAAGGAACCGGAGGTGGTTGGTCAGGAACACCCAGAGCCGCCGGTTCTTGGAATCGGTGACTCCGGGGATGGGAATGGCAACTGGAATGTCCAGTGAGTGTGGGGTGCAGGGCTCTGCCAGGACACCGAGGACACCGGGGCTGTAAAGTCCCTCCCCAGGACACGCTCAGAGCCCCGTCATAGCCATGAGGAGCCCGTGGTGGCCCCTGGGCCAGGGGGAACCAGGCAGTGGTCCCAGGACACCGGGCAGCTGCCTGAGGAACCGGGAAGTGGTCCCAGGATACCGGGTAGTC